TATTTACTGTCTATATTAGTACTCTTCAAAAAAATTTCATCTTAGCATAATTATATTTAGCACTAGCGACCCGCCCTTCGCTTGGGTGGGATCTATTAATGTGGCATTATTTCCATTTAAGATAATGTAAGAAATAAAACGCAAGAACAATTTATTTTATTCATTTCATAATTTTCAAGTTTTTGTGTATAATCACTCTTGTTCGTGAAGTTTCATTACCATCGGTTCAGCCATTTCGCGGATTAGTCTGTATAAAAAGACAGACAGACAAAAATTTTAACAATGGTTATATGGTCTTAATGGCATGCAAATACCTCTTGATCAAGTCACGTTTACGACCACTGGACCTACTAAGTAGTAGACTAACGAGGCAGAGACAGTTAAGACAAAATTTGCATTGGGATCAGTCATCGCATAAGTTCGATATTTAATTTCATGGCGGGAAATAACCTAAGGAAAAAACACTTGACAATATCAATGTTGTGCAACTTTGAACTGTAAAAAAAATGTAATTTAAGCTGTCAAGTTTGTATTATACGAATAACGTAATAAATTAAATTTTACTTGCATAGAATCGCACTATGCGAAAATTAGACAAATTCCCACGTCATTATATGCCCCAAATATTTAAGGAGTGTTGAATTCGGAAGTCCGTTTACACGTCGCAGCGGGGGACAGTTTATCGCAATAAGAGCAAAACTACAATTATAATTGGCTGAATGACGTGTTGTCATTGCCAACAGCTTGACGTCTTTTTTATTTTTCATTAGATCTATGGTACAGACCTTTACTCATTACCTACGTATTTAACTACATTAGTACTTACAAGCCCAGGAAGTGTGTGATTTTAGAGTTTGATTATTCTTTCGTATTTTTTAATTAATTGCCCGTAGGCAGGCATTTTGGAACGAAGTTCCTAATCGCACGGTACGAATTTGGCGGATGGAGGCTAGGCGAGAAAAAGGGCAAGATTTTTCCGTCACAACCCCTTGTGACATAGTGTAAACAGCCTTGGTGGCTATAAGGAAGCGAGATGGAATAATATCCATCTCCCTCGCACTTTTTATTATCTTGCCATGAATTATTTTATTTTAAATGACGCTTCATTTTAATAGGCGTTAGTAATTTATTTATTTGTATTGGTTTATCAATAATAATATACTACGAAAAGAAACATCGTTCCAACCGAGTGTTCCACGACACTCAGACATGTTTTTTTAATTAGTTTTTTTATAGATTATGAGTAACAGACGAGCACACAGTCCATCTGATGGTAAGTGAATGCTGCGGCCTATAGACATCTACATCTATCCGGGATTAAGAATAAAAATGCAGATGCGCCGTCAACCAAGATAAAATGCCTTGCTTCTAGTAAAAGGGTCTCCGGTTCTCTACACTCACCATACGAAACACAGCAGCATTAAACTGCTATTTTACGCTGGTATTCTGTAAGAGCGTGGTCCATCCCCGGTAGAGCCGATCCATTCGCACCACAACTATAATAGAGCCGTAGCATAGCTCTACCACGTAAGCCCGTAGGTAGAAAAATATATTAGTTTTTTTTTTATAAAATAATAGTGACAAACGAGGTCACTAACGAACCTCTGAGGACTAAGATGAAAACCGTACCCGTACAAAAAAAGTCTCCGGTTCTTTACACTCACCATATGAAACACAGCAGCATTAAACTGCTATTTTACGCTGGTATTCTGTAAGAGCGTGGTCCATCCCCTGTAGAGCCGACCCATTCGCACCACAACTATAATAGAGCCGTAGCATAGCTCTACCACGTAAGCCCGTAGGTAGAAAAATATATTAGTTTTTTTTTTATAAAATAATAGTGACAAACGAGGTCACTAACGAACCTCTGAGGACTAAGATGAATACCGTACCCGTAAAAAAAGTCTCCGGTTCTTTACACTCACCATATGAAACACAGCAGCATTATGTATTCTGTGAATGCGTGGCCCTACCCCGGCCGTACAAACCCATTTGCGCTTTTGGTCATATTTTGTGTATATTAGAAACGTAGCTGTAATAAGGTTGTATGCAAATGGTTAGGCTTGACCGCGGCAGGATCTTATATTCAATTTACATTGCCGCGGAACAGAATGGAAGCGAATTTTTGTAACGAAAATGTACATAGTAAAACGATGATCGTACAGAATAGAGCTTATACCTTAATTAATAGTTTGATTCTCAGCTTAATTATATTTTCCCTTTTAAAATGGCGATGCCGTTATCGAATACTAGAAATTTTTATTCGCTACTCGGCTCGCTCTAATTGCGGCTATCCGCAGTATTTCCAATTAACATAGACGTTTATTTTTCTTATTATCTGATCATTACTCACGCTGCGGGGGGAGGATTATACTCTCATATACTTTGAATTATTACATTATCTATACACATAAATTGAAGTGTCCGCGTGTGTAGTTTCGAAACAACTGCTACTTATTACCATACCATTTTTAAAAGTTTCGTCCTTCTGTCTGTCTGTTCGGACTGACAGATGGAAGCATTCGTCGGTCTGGATGATTTGCGTTTGCCCTAATTGAGGTGGTAAAATACCGTTTATCAGAAACGATGACAACTTTCTAGCACTTTCTGTGGTCGCCTCTTACGACGCGACGTGGACGTGATAGCTATCGGACGAGATACAATTATGGATTCTTATAAGCCGCTCCACGTGACAAAATTATAAGTTGTAAACTTTTAGATCATATTGTTTGATTTAGGTTTCAACAAGAATCTATTTTGTTCAATAGTTGCTTCCTTGGAACAAATGTTTGTACAATTTCAAACATTAAATTTTAAAATAATTTATTAAAAAAAAAACCCAAAACATAGGAGTGAGTGGTAAAAAATATTTGCTCTATTGTCTTTACCAGGAATAAAACAAGAATACGTAAAAATAAGAATAGGTACGTTTGTGTGCTAAACGCCATCACGCCGCGCCGCCAGGGTTGTTGCATTTATTTCAATACCTTTCATTCCTCTCCTGCACGTGGCATGTGTGCGACTGAATTAAATTGCTAACACCATAATTTTAAAACGTGCCAATTTTTTTTTTATAAAATAAGTCTGAAAAACAATATATTATAATAATTACACTAGGTAGTATATACTATATCGACCGGCGTAGTACCACACTCACACAGAATACCAGCGTGAAACGTCCCCTTAACTGCTATCACTATTACAATCACTACAAAGAACCGGAGACCCTTTTTACTGGAAACGAGGGATTCCATCTTATTCCTCAGGGGTGACAACGCATCTACATTTTCTACCGACTTCAAAAAGTGTGTTACCTCATAACTATTTACTGGGTGAACCGATTTCGATGATTTTTTTTATTTGAATGCTGGTGCTTCACATGTGGTCCCATATAAATTTGATCAAGGTTTGACCAATTAGTTTTTGAGTTATTATTAATAATTTATATTGAAATCGGTTGTACAAAATTATTAATTTTAAATTATGATTCTTAAAGTTAAAGTTATAGCTTATATACGTCCCACTGCTGGACACAGGCCTCCTCTCATTTCTGGGAGGATTTTAAGGCAAGGAAATGTCCGCCGCGGTGCTCTAATGCGTGTTGGCGCACTTCACATGTCTTCAAAATATTTTTTCACGATGTTTTCCTTCACCGCCAAGCTCATGGTAATTCAGCATTTAAAATTGCAATTAACAATTTCATCGGTGCCGGTGGGTATCGAACCCAGTTTGCTCGCGTACTGTGAAATTTACAGCGGGCGCTTTGCCCCTGAGCTACCACGGCTCTTGAGTCTTAATCGAGGATGAATATAGATTTCTATAGGCTACAGCATCTACTTACCATCAGGTGGACTGTTGGCTCGTATTTTTTTTGCCAGCCTTTTAGAAAGGAGTGAGCTATTTTCTTGAAGGTCACTTAGTCGTATCGGTTCGGAAAAATCACCGGTGGTAAACTATTCCACAGAGAGGTCGTACGCGGAAGAAAACTCCTAGTGAAATGAACAGTGGTGGACCGCTAAGCATCCAGATGTTGTAGATGGTATCGGGAATTTTGCCGCGATGTGTAATCGTTTCACCCCCTTAGCTATAAAAAAGGCCTTCTAGGTAGGTACTGCCCTATTACCCATATCTGCCACCAAATAGCAATGCTTGCACTGATGAGTTACGGTCTGAAGAATGTAGAGTATCTGTATAGTTACAAGTTGTGAGGAATTCCATCTTAGCCCTCAGTGGACAACGCATCTATAGTGTTCTTTTTTTAAAGTTGGCTGGCAAATAGACTTGTAGCCACTTACCATCAAGTGGATTGTAACTTCGTTTGTCACTTTAGTATTGTAAAAACCTTTGCCTGCTCTCTCGAGCGAATAATAAAAACAAAAAAGTATTATAAAAAAATTTTTAAAACTTTTTTGTAATACAAATAACGCATTTTATATTTATAAACGGAACCAGTAATTTTCACTTTGTGTATTTTTTTTTATTAAAGACATTTCAAATAATTTTGTAAAATGTAAATAATAAAATACGTAGTTGTATGTACGTCAGTTGTCAGCATTTGATTTAAACACGGTATTCCGATAGGAACTTGCAGTAAATGGTTTTACTTACGAGAAAAGGAGGATGTTGTTGTTGGTTCGTTTCTTCAAAAAAAATTGGGTTATGAACTAAACTACATGAATTTCAGTAGTAAAATATAATTTCATTTTCAATAAATCTCAATATAAAGTAAGGTATAAAATTATTTGCACACGTTCCAAATTATATACATGAAACTATATCTATTTTACAACCTCCAACTGAAATCTAAATTCTTTCTTAAATAATTAACAGACGTATTAAAAATTTTGTTTACAATATGAAATAATTAATACATGATTCCATTATAGAAGTAGCATACTAAATACACTATGAACATTTAAATATAATTATGTAATCATTACGGAATAACCGTTTTCAGAAGACGTTTTTGAACTTTAATGTCAATTAAATATCTAGAAACATCAGTACCCGTACAAATAGGGGAAGCCACCCACGTGTGGAATAGCTGATAAAGGAACGAACACGGGCATCATTCTTTCAGCCTGCAAATAATGTGTGCGAGTATGTTTCTTTAAATGATCTCTCCTTCCGAACTTCTTACCACAAGTGGGGCAAGGAAACGGACGGACTCCCGAATGAATCCTCTTGTGCCTGGTTAGTTCCTCGTTCCTTGTAAAAGTCTTCCCGCAGTTTTTTTCATCGCATTTATAGGGCCTCTCACCAGTGTGAATGCGTATATGACCTTTCAGCTGTCCGTTATTCGAGAATCCGACCTGGCAGTGAGGACATTTATACTTTTTCGGTCGCTGTTTCCTCGCGTTGAGGAGCTTCGCTTCGTTCTCTTGCTGTAATATTCTCGCGTATTCTAATTCCATTGCGTATCCTTGTGCTAACGATTCTAGTAACAAAGGATCCGTTGGAGGTACTCCCAACGCTTGTGCGATGTCAGCTGAAATATACTCTGGCATTATTGCATGTTGGTAAGAATGCGGTGGAGGTATTAGGTTTTGCGGCGGTAAGTTAGTAGAATATGAATTTGCAGGGGACGGTACCACTGCAGGTGACACTGTTGTATCTTTCCTATGCTTTTTCTCTTGTTTTTCAGGTTCTTTCAGCAATCTGTCGCAGCACATGCTTAATTTTGTGACTGAACTCAACGTATCAGATGTTGGATCAGTGTGAATGCTATCTTTTAATTTATCTTTTGAATCATCGTCTGCTTCTATAGTTGTAGTGGAAACAGTTGCGTCTTGATGACTGTTCCCTTCATTTTTCTTAAAAGTTCCGCGAATTTTCCGTAAACGGTTCTCTCTTTTGTGTTCATCCGGTTTTCTCTTCTTCGCTTTCGCATGATTCTCAGAACTGGTTTTATCACTAATCACGTCTTTTTGCAGTTCAGCGTCTTTACTTTCACACACATCCCACGGCCTGAACAGCCTCGAATAATTTCGCTCAAGGGATAACATTTTTATGAATCGGAATAGTTCGTGCCGACCAAACTCACTGACTGGGACCCTTCTACGTTTCAACAACTTTTATATACATTTCTTTAACAATAAATTTAATAAAAGCTCCCAAGAGTAGAGGGATAACATTGCTATTGAATGGATGAAAGAGACGAAATATTTTTCAATTGTTGCACGCTTCTCGTTCCTCTCACTTTTTGTATATGTAACAATTATTTGCTTTTTTATTTTCGCAACTGACTGTTTTGCTTTAGGGTTGAGTTTGGTTTCTACGGTGAAGGTAAAATAAGTCTTTTTTGTTGAGCAGGTTGTCATAGTGTCTGAGATAGGGGTGTGTATTGTTATTTATGTTGATTTTTGTGCTTCTTTCGGAGGCGGGCTTAGGGGCAGAGCGTTCTGCACGAGTTGCTCCTGCCCTCACAGCTGCAAGCTTGTTTGTTTTAATGGTCCCTGCATTTGTTGCGGTTCCCGAACGATTTATATTTTATGTTACATACAGGCAGATACGCACATGGATATAAGCGCATTGTTGTCGCAAGCGGTTTATGGGAGACTTAACAATTCAACCCCCGATGCGATTGGGAAATGTTTAAATCAATTTTATCTAGCTAAGTTAACCCTTGTGCATAAATTGCATTTTCTATCATGTTTCTGGCGACAGATTTTCTTTATGTTCATACCAGCCGATACCAATGACGTAACGCTGAAATTACCATCTTATTAAAATATTATAAGTATTATTTTCCCAAAATAAAGTTATTTGTTCTTTCTTTATACTAATGAAAATTTATTTTAAAATCGCGGAATTTCTTTTTAGGTCGACACAATGGTCTATGTGTAACCATCGAAGGTTATGGATTATAGGTTTTTTAGCCGTTATTATTATTGTATCCATGTAGTGGTTAGAATGTCCACTATTCCAATTTATCTCATAAGTATCGTAAGATGTGGCAGAGAGAAAATAAAGGCAGGAGGCCGACAACAACATACTCTTGGGAACATTTATTTCTTACAGCTTATCAAGAGTTCATTCCTGAATACATTCCATACATTGCTTCATAGAAGGGATATGGGGTTCATGATAAAAAATTAATGCTGCTGTTTCGTGTGTCGTGTAGAGAACCGGAAACCCTTTTTACTAGGAACGATGCATTCCATCTTATTCCTCAGGGGTGATAGCGCATTTTGCATTTCGATTCTTAATCGAAGATAGACGTAGCTATGGGCTACAACATTCACTTAGCATCAGGTGGACTGTGTGCTCATTTGTCAAAAAAGAAAACTATGGCTGCTGACCCACTGCCAAGCGTTGCAACTAGCACTGCCGGAAGTTTTGTCACAATAGCCACGATCGGCAGGGGTAAATTGGATATCATTTCATTATTACAGGCTTAGAATATATAATTACTACTATTGTATTTATATATTCTAAGAGTACGGCCTTAACGATACGGTTACATCGTCATCTATAGAAGCTATGAGATATTTCTGACGCTTTTGCATTAAGTATAAGTAATAGGATAGGCAAATTAGCATCTAATTGAATTCAAACATGGTAGAGCCATGCTGGTGCTATATTAATTGTATAGTTGTAGCACGAATGGCTCGGCTCGACCGGGAAAGTACCACGCTCTCATAGAATACCAGTGTAAAATAGCAGCTTAATGCTGTTGTGTTTCGTACGGTGAGTGTAGAGTAGAGAACCGGAGAGACCCTTTTTACTGAAAATGAGGCATTCCATCTTAGTCCTCAGTGGTGACAACACATCTGCATTTTGATTCTAAATAAATGTAGATTTCTATGGGCCACAGCATTCACTTAGAAAAAAATTTTGTCGTTTTTATTAAAACGTAGTGATTATATTCTCTTTGGTTTTTATCGAATACATTTTTGTTACGTAAAAATTGTCACTGATACCACAAAATTGATCGGACCTAAACAAATCGAGTTAAATCTATTCAAATACAATGGGCTTGATTGCGTTCGCTTTTGATGTATTTTTGGATACTCTTTAGATGGGATACGGAATTGAGTCGATCTGTCAAATTCTGTGTTACACGTGATCGATCGCCTGCCATCTTGATTGCGGGGCACATACACAATGCACAAATTATATGTTTGTTTTATTAACAGACGCGAAAGAAAATATATGTGTCCTTGGTCTATATAGATTTAAAAATCGCTTGTGCCAGAATACCAATGGTGACCTCAATTATAACTGAGCCATACGCCATTTTGTCGTATTACGTTTATTGTATGTTCGACTGCGCTGACAATGGGTCACATGACCACCTGAATAACCTAGCACCCTTACATGCTCGGCCCCCGGACGGGCGACCTCTACCAAGAGAACTCCTCTCTATAGAGATTAGGGAGAGATAGAGATTAGTGATTCGACGGCTCCGGATTGCAGTGGCTTAGGATTGAGTTGTTGCGTTGGGGACCGCAGGTTCGGATCCCGCACGGAACAAGTATTTGTATGGCCTACAAATAATTGTTCCGGGTCTGGATGTTTGTCCTCGTGCAATTTATATTTGTAAACTGCCTCCTCGATACAGGAGGATATCCTAGTGTGGGGGTAACAACCCACAAAGTCGCAGATAGACCAACTTTGACTTTTTATTGATACCAATTTGCTACGACCGGGGAACTGAACCCTGGACCGCTATGTTATTTACAATGCCATGACGGCTTCCGCGACCGGTACATAGTAATGTACCGCGAGGAGATTCCGGGCAATGGGTTACGCCTCGAGGCCCGAGACCTTCTGTGTGTACTGTGAGCATAGACACGCAGACGACAACGTAGTGATGATATTTTTTGTACATTTTTAACAACCATGTGAAACGTTGTGAATTGAGACAGATAAAAACTTTAATTATTGTTGAGGGGGTATTTAAAATAGTTTTTTTCACTTGGAGCTGAAATAACATAATACATAACATACATAAACACTCACGCCCGTCACCCAGAGGGGTAGGCAGAGATTATGGACTTCCATTTGGCACGATCCTGACACACCTCTCTCGCTTCCTCCACATCCATATACCTACGCATACACGCTCGTCGGTTAAAGGTACTCTTGATATGGCCCATTTTTAATATATCGCCAATTTGGACGATAAACTTTCGCCTAGGGCGACCCTTCCCGACTATGCCGTTCACCTCTGCGACATAGATTTGCTTTGTCACTCTTTCCTCATTCATTCTTTCTACATGGCCAAACCACCGAAGCATTCCTTTCTTAATCCTGGTCACAACATCATCTTGCAAACCACACTCTTCTCTTATTAAACAATTTCTCACTCTGTCATTCAGCTTCATCCCTAACATACTCCTTAATGACCGCATTTCTACAGCATTAATTCTACTCTCATGCTTCTTCTGCCACACCCAACTTTCACTACCATACATTAAAGTAGGTACTAACACAGCATTGTGAATTGACATACGTGCCTTTTTGGACACATTCTGACTTTTCATAATAGAGTGTAGAGCCCCATTCACTCTATTTCCTGCATTCACTCGTCGTTCTATATCCTTATCATATCTACCATCCCTGCTAAACAATATTATAAATAACAATATTATAATAAAATATATTATGTTGAATAATGTAATAACATATACATAAAATATTATTTGGGATTACAATACGGTATTCTCATACGGTTGGACTATAAAAATATAAACGATCTAAAGAAAATATAGGTTCAATGTTCAGTTTTTCAGTTAGGTTCAATGTGCCAGTTTTTTTCTGCAATTTGAACAATTTTTTTAATTCATTCATTACGACCTTTCAAAAGTCCACTGCTTAACATAGGTCTCCTTCATATATTGCTTCTTAGTAGGGATTGTTTACTACAGTAGCTACGATTGGCAGGCGGGTTGAAAACTGCAATTTTCTAGAAACTTCCTGATAACAACTTACAATAAAAAACTGTAAAGAGTTAATAGTTAAAATTAAAGTTACAGCCCATATACTTACGTCCCACTGCTGGGCACACGCCTCTCATTTATGAGAGGGTTTTAGGGCAAGGAAGTGTCCGCCGCGCTGCTCCAATGCGTGTTGGCGAACTTCACATGTCTTCGAAATATATTTTTTTCCTTATTTCTCAGACATTCAGGTTTCCTCACGATGTTTTCCTTCACCGTCGAGCACGTGATAAAGCAGCACTTAAAATTGCAATTAACAATTTCGTTGGTGGCGGCGGGGATCGAACCCGGGTTGCTCGCGTACTGTGAAATGTACAGCGGGCGCTAACCATCTGAGCTGCCACGGCTCCGAACTATCACGTCTGAGCTATCTTTGGTAATAAGTTATTATAATATATAGATGGCTCCGTGGCGCAGTGGCTTAGCAATCAGTTGTTGCGCTGAGGGCCGCGGGTTCGAATCCCGCACGGAACAAGTATTTGTAAGGCCTACAAATAATTGTTCCGGGTCTGGATGTTTATCCTTTTGCAATTTATGTTTGTAAAACTGCTTCCACAAATAAATAAAATTGAAGTGTCTGTTTGTAATGTCAAAATAACAGCTTTTTACTACATGCATATGAAAGTATATATGGTACTTATAACAAAACACGATTTTTAAAATTTTTGTGTCTGTATTTCTGTCTGCCTGTCTGTCTGTCTGTTTGTTCCGGCTAATCTCCGAAACGGCTGGACCGATTTTGACCGGAATTTCGCTGGCAGATAGCTGATGTTATAAGAAGTAACTTAGGCTACTTTTATTTTATAAAAGAATTAGGGTTCCGCGCAAAAAATTAAAACCCATAAAATCCAATCGTAATAAATTACTGTCTGGTGAAGTCGCGGGAAACAGCTAGTTCTTAATATGATAGTAACCTCTGGGATTAAGATGATCATTTCGAAGCTGATTGTTAAATAATTTTTGTAAGCAATTGTACCTACAAGTTGTAGAGGTTGTAGACTACAATCTCTGTTTTTATTTGTATAATGTTACTTTGGTAAAGAGTCCCGTTGTTTTTCTTGCTG